GCTGTTTTCAATTGATTATAGCATCTCTAATAGGTCAAAGCCATAATTAAGCTAAGTCAGAATAATGCTGAAAAGCTGTTGAAGGTCTCGATTTGCACTTGGAATTAGCTGAGTTCTTCAGTACTGTTTGTTGCGGTGATGACTATTGTTTTTCAACTCTGTTTTGGGACCAGCAAAGCTTGTATGAAAATTAAATTATACTTCTAAAACTGATAGAAACTCTCAAGTATTTGTTAGAGATACATAAATTTGCTTATCAAAGAATTCAAAGATCATGGAAATAGAAAAGATATCTATATCTATATCTATCTATATATATACTATTTCTCTCTATATATATATATAGACAGGTAATTCAATTTTAGAAAATAATTTTGAGGTGCAAGGAACTTTATAAATACTTTAATCCATAAAGGCAGAAAATTGAGAACCAGAGAGCGAGGTAGTATGTCTACAGATATGAAAATTACTAAAGATAGAAGTGGGGTGAGAAGAAACATATGCTGTATATTGGAATAAGTGTTTTGAAGCTCATTTAATTTCCAAAATTAATGAGTAGGTTTCCCTTTATTGAGCATATGTACAGTAGACAGTGATGAGACCAAAATTCAAGTTTTAATGCCTAGTTACATCAGACCCTCTACCCTTGACCAAAGTATTTATTATGCCTGTTTTCTGACATGAAAATAGGACGTCTGGAGCATAGTACGTAGTCACCCAATATTAATTATTAATTCTCACTTAACAATTTGCCTGATGAGAGTGTCTCTCACATTTTGATAAAAATGACTCCCACACCTCAGAAATGTACTCAGGCGTGTGTGTGTGTGTGTGTGTGTGTGTGTGTGTGTGTGTGTGAGCGCACACTGCACACACAGTTATTTAACACACACTTGTTAATGACAATGGAATGTGGATCAGGCTGGCTGTCCACAGTGTTACGGGTCAGTGGGAGCACAGAACACAACTTGGCCCAGAATTTTCTCTTATCTGAGAAAATCATTTGAGGCTTCTCTGGAGACCAGAGCTGGGGACCTGAGGAGGGCCAGGGGCAAAGGGAGGGAACAGGACTGAGCAGAGGGAGAGGCGGAGTTCACACACAGCCTCAGTGGGGAAGAACTCAGCTAATTCCAAGTGCAAATACAGACCTTCAACAGCTTCTCAGCATTGCGCTGACTTGGGGTGAGGGGAAATTCACACTCCTGTACTAGCCAGTGACTAGATGCCACCTGTGTGCAGATGGAGGTGACCTTGGGAGACCTAACTCACATCAGCCACAAAGCAGCACTAGAGAGGGGACCCAGCCACAGCCTGTTCAGTAACAGTCTTCCCGAGAGGTGGCGGAGAGCTCAGTTCTGAAGGAGGGCAGTGGGGGCCCTGTCAGCCATCTACCTGACAGGTGGCAGGGGAGGTTTCCTGGGATAAGAGAGAATCCATAAGATCTAAGACACATGTAAGTGATAAAATAGGGTTTATGTATTTTGGGTAAAGATAAAGCACATGAAAAGGCATGAGGGGTTTGGGGAAATTGCAAGCAGCTACTGGGATGCAGTCACAACAAACAGGGTATGCGGTGGGTAGAGGGAGACACACGGCAGCACTGGCTGAAGAGGGAGGCAGAGGCCAGGTCATAGCGTCTTGGTGCCAGACGCTGACCTGCAGATATCTGAACCCTGTGCACGTGTCTTAAGGAGAGGAAAGACCAAGCAAGACTGTTGGAAAAGTCATCCCAGCAGCAGTGCGGAGGAGATACTGGAGAATGTCAAGGCTAGAGGCAGGAAGGCTGTACAGTCTTCTGGGTGTTAGACACCCCAGGGGAGGTGTTTAATAACTACACTGACTGTGTGCTATTTCACATGAAATGTTGATTACAACACTCTTACATCAATGTTCCTCACCGGCCCCCTTCGGGTTGTGTGGATTTTCTTTCTTATCTGAGAAAATCATTTGAAGTCTCCTTAGAGGATAAAAGTTAAATGTGTGTATTATACACACACACACACACACACACACACACACACACACACTTGTAAACTCATCTGCCATTCACAACACTTTTAGCCAGTGTGTTAGGGCACAAAAATGTTTACCTTTTCTTCACTTTAAAATTAAGTCTGTATATTATGACTATAGCTAAAAGGATTTTCAAAGCATAGTTTTTAAGATTGAATTTTTTAAACAAGAAAACTCTAGGAAAACTTCTGAATTTAATTTAAAAGAAGAAATATATGAAAAATGTAAAGCTCTGTAAAACTGAAAAAACCCAGTATGAATTTCTTAGTATTGAATTTAAGTTAGAATTTAGTTGAATTGAGCAAATAAATGGATCAGAATCAGTTCCTCATTGTTAAAATGTGCATAATAATACCTATCACAGAAAGACAATAGGAGTATTAACTGATTAACATGTAAAACTAATTTCACTAAGTACAAACTATTACAGATGTGCCTCATCTATTGAACCGCCTGTTTAATGACCATCTGGAGGTGTGACCCCGGCACATTGTTCCGACTTACATCCCACTGCTGGGACTTATGACCTGCTTTGGACTTACAGCGCAGGCAGTGAGCTGCGGGGAGGCCTTATGGCAGCTGCTGCTACAGAACAGTACTGTGATTTTTGCTGATTGTACTGTGTTATAATCAGCAAAAATCTGAACATAGGCCTATACGGCCGCCCTATGTTCTGCCATACATCACAGTACTGCGCGTAAGAGTTATGCAACTAAAAGTGAAGTCATCAAGCTGGAGTTTCCTTCCACCATCTCTTTGTACTGAATATCGTAATGTGCACACTGCATACATCCCTCACTTAGTGACCAAGTCATTTAAGGACCTTGTTGTAGGAGCATAGCTTGGTCTTTGAGCGAGGAGTGCCTGTATACAAGCCTTAGTGTCCGTAGCTTGACTAGTTTGTCACCAAGAGGTGTCCTCGCTGGGAGGCAGAAGTGGATGGAGGAAAACACCTCCAGGCAGAGGCCAGAAGGACCAGGCCCTGGAGGGCAGGAGGATCCAGGTGGGAGCAGGGCTTGGGCGTGGCCAGCTCTCCCTTCAGGCTCCTGTTCCATTTCCTCTGTAAGACTGGGGGGCATCGGTCCAGTGTACCCACTCTGATCTGCTGCTAGAGCAGACCCTGTGGGTCAGTGAGGTCTCCCTTCCCTCCTGACGCCAGCTCGCAGCCTCTGCCTGGTCTGACCACGTGAGAAGGTGTTGCCGTAGGGAAGGAGCTCCTGTTGGTGTCGGCAGGAGCGAGGGCTGGAAGCCCGACCTCACAGTGGCACTTCAGGGAAGCCATGCCACACCAGGTGGGGTCACCAGATTTTCTCCCTCCTTAGGAAAAAATGCTGCATATTGCTAGGCCTCAGCTTTCCCTCCGCTAAACCACAGGTTTGAGGTGAAATTATTCAGTTCCTTCAACCCTTATAAATCCGACACTCACGGTTCACAAATCTCTCAAGAAAGAAAAACGGGGGCCCCAGAGTGTGTGCCTCCTGAGGCCGGGGAGACTTACTATCTGACGGTAGATCAGATGCCGACGCTAGACCGGAGCGCGCGGGTGAGGACCAGAGTCGCAGATGTGGATGGAAGGAGAGGCACTGGATGGGACGCTGAGGGGTCGCGCTCCTTCCTCACACAGAGGCCAGGACGAAGTTCGCCCCACACCCCAAAGCCCTCAGCAGAGCCACCTGCCTTCCCAACCTGCCCCAGCGCTCTGTCCCCCAGCACCACAAATGTGTGCACACACCCAACAGCCCCCCACACACACACACAACCGCTCACGGAACTAGAAACGCTTTGGAAAGGAACTAAAGCAAACTCTTCAGGAGCCTAGAAAAGACTAGACGAGTTGTTTGCTGGTCCTATTGTCAAGCTGTCTGACGGGAGCCAAGTTTCATATTGTCTCAAGTTTCAGGTCAAAACATTTACATAAGAGCACCCCTGATGTTTGACAGTGGTTTTCCTTGTTATAAAACCCTCAAAATATTGACCTCCTTGGAAACACATCTTCGTACACTTCATTGATTTTTATGAATGTCTCTTCTTTGGTTTCTCGAGTTGCCATTAAGTCCACCCTTGCTGCCCCTCCTGAGACTATCAAGTCTTCAGATCTGTTTTGCATCTTCTGTTGTGGTGACATCATCACTATTTGTTGAGAAAATGATTATGTCTCCAAGGATCCAAGCCTATACATGATATATTGAAACAAAAAGAGCTGCACCATGAAAAGGATGCAGATTTAAAATAACAAACGTTATATCTTGAAAAGACAAATAAGAAATAGACACAGTTGAACTGTGAGGAGAAAGCCACAGTGGCCAGGCAAAAACACAGGCTTTGGTTTTTGCCCCTGCAGTGTGCCGGAGGGTTCGTCAGCCCACACAGTCATGTTTCTAGGAGAACTGCGGTCACAGCACTGAGAGCTGACGATCCCTGCATTTCCACTTTACTAATTGTGACGCTGAGGCAGCCCAATCAAGGACTTGCTAAGTGCCAAGTATTGCATGAACCCTTACAACTGTGAGAGTAACTACGATACTCCCCTGCTCTTCAGAATGCGAAGCAGGTTTTCATGGCCTCTTCAGTAGCAAAGATTGCCCTGAGATCTGTAATCCTGGACCTCCGCTCTGACTGCCAAAATGCCAGTGTCTAAGAGAGTTCCAGGAACACAGAAATAACACACTGAGTACTCATGGAGTCAAATTATTACAGCACATTACTTCCTGAATCATTTAAAGTTTTTTTCTAGTGTACAAGTTGCTCACTTCGAAGAATAATCAAACATTTAAAATTAAGTGTTAGTTTATTTTTACATTCCAGTGAAGCCTGGCTGTGTGAGAAGGAGGATTTTCACCCTTTCTCCTCCTCACTCACCCGACACCTCAGGTGCTGGTTCCAGGCATCTGGCCCGGCCTGCAGCATAACTTCCGGAGCCTGCACGCTCTTTTACATGGTGCTTGAGACCAAGCCCAGGTGAGACCCCAGCCCCAGCCCTCGCCTACCTGTAGTTCTGCTTTTCATTGCCTATGTGGAACCTGTCGTACTGCGAGTGGGCGCGGTTGCCCTCCCAGTCCAGCAGCTCGATCCTCAGCGTGTACTGCTTGTGGCTGGTGATAGCAAAGATGAACTCATTCCCCAGCCAGTACTCCCCAGACGGGTTCCCGAAGCCCTGGAAAGGGGGACAAGCAGGACAGGTCAGTGGGGAGGGGAAGCACACTCACCTGGAGCCAGGCCCTGAGTAACAAACATCAGCGTCTCCTAACATAAAGACAGACATGTCTTGGACTTCGCAGCCTTTATTTTCAAGCGCTGATGGATTGTCATGCTCTCTTGCTGAGCTTGTCTCCATCGAGCTAACTGTCTAATTGTGATTATGGCTAAACTTCCATCAGTCAGGTTCACATGGATGAGACGGTTTGGGGCCAAATGAAACAGGTTGATAGGTTCAACTAGAAAGCACTTCTCAAGTCAAAGTACTACTTAAAATATTAAGTAATAGCTTTAACTTAAACATTTTCCAATGAATATTATCAGGGTGTTATCAGATGAACTATTGAATAATTGTTATCATTATTAATTTTTAGGAATCCAGCTGTGCTTCTATAACTTTGTAGGTTAGTAGACCCTTGACTTGAGAAGTCTTAACATCTTCAAATTTTTCTGATGAATATGCCCAGACCCGTAAATGCATGACTACAGTGGCTTGCACAGCTTTGGGCATGGGTTTGGCTGCAGGCAGAGGCTGAGGCGGAAGAGCTGCGGGCGAAGCTGGCTGTCTTGGCCTCAGGGCTCCACTACTCTCTCTAGAGAAATCCTGGGCCCAGTCGCTAGGTAGTTTCTATGAGAGAAGGAGAAAAGCAGTCCCCAAGCATGAGCCGGCCCTTAACATTGGGAATATTAGTGACAGGGAAACGAAGAACTCTAACAACTCTACATTTTGCATATTCATCATTGTTTCAGAAAATACTGCTTGCTTCAACTCAAGGGTCAGTTTCTCACTTGAGCCACAGGTTTCCCTTCTTGACAGAGAGGTCAATGGCTGTGTTTGTGGAGTT